CCTCCTCATCCCTCCTCCTCCTCCCTCCTCTCCTCCTCCTCCTCCTCCTCCTCCTCCTCTCCTCCTCCTCCTCTGGATCTGCGCCCCCGCCCCCTGCGGCGCCTCCGGCGCCGCCCGCCGCCCCAGGGCGCGCGCTGCGCGCGCGGGGGTGGGGGGGGTCTGGCGCAGGTCCAAGGCAACACCCAAACATACTTATACTACATGTGCGTCGCCCCCCCAGGGGCGACGCGCGCACCGAGAAATCCTATAGTATATGCGTCGTGGCGGGCGCTTCCTGGCCACACCGCTCGGGAAACGATATACTACAAGATGGGTATACTATATGTTCGGGTCGGACGCGCGCCTCCAAGGCGGACACATAGTATTAGTATGTCTCTGTGCATCCCAGTCCAAGGCATTCATGGAGACCGTCGAAAGGTTGCGTCTGCAAGGGCGCCCTCGAGGGCGCGAAGTGATTCGCGCCTCGCGCTTCGCGGTTCGGCTCCGATTCCTCCCCCTCCTCCCCTTCTCCCCTGGGAGGCGGCGCGAGGGTGCGAAGGTAGTCGCACTTCGCGCTGCGCGCAGCGCGAAGCGCGAAGTTGGGAGCCCTTGCATTCGCGGAGACCGTCGTAAGGTTGCGTTTGTGCCGCTTTTAATCGGGGGTGGACAGACCTACCCTGACGCGTCGATTAAGGAATTGGCCGTTTTCGGTTCGCTAGAGGGCGTCGTGGCCGTCATTTTTCCGGGTACAGGTCCGTCGGTTTCGGTCCCAGGCCGTTTTCACTCAGGGGAGGTTCACTAAAGGGAGGTTGGTCCACCGCCGAATTACCTCCTCTAGCGACCCTGTCCCTCTGTGGCCGTCCTCGAGCCAGATCCGTGAGGGTCCCGGGGCCCGAAGCCAGGCGGCCTATCGGGGGCCTATCGCCGATCTGCCGGCGACCGTAGGGGAACGAAAAACAGCATAAACATAATAATTCGGAGGTCCGCACGGATTTCTCGGATCGGCGCTGGACCCCCTCCCTGGCGCGCGGAGCGCGCCAGGGGCGGCGCCGGAGGCGCCGCCAGGGGTGTCCGGCGCGGATCCGAGAGATCCGCGCGGGTTTCCGAGTGAGAACGTTTGTGCCGTGTGTTTCGTTCCCCTAGATCGAGGGATCGAGGGATCGAGGGATCGACCGACCTCTGCCCCTCACAGAGGGTCGAGGGATCGAGGGACCGAGGGACCGAGGGATCGAGGGATCTTTGCCCCTCACGAGGATCGAGGGATCGAGGGATCGAGGGATCGACCGATCTCTGCCCCTCACAGAGAAAGGGCACTGAGCGGCCCGGCCCGAGGCCGACCATGAAGCGCTGCGGCAGCCCCCACCACCGGAAGTGAGGGCCGCGGCTCCCGCCGAGACCGAGCCCAGCCTGACCGGCGGCGGCGGCGATGGCGCGAGCTCAGAGGAGGAAAATCGGGGGCGGCAAAGAGGGGGGTGATGACTAGGGGGGGTGGCTACCATGGCGGGGGCCATGATGTTTCCCCAGATTTCATGGCGCCTCTTCTTATTCCATTACGTCCCTGCCCCCCCCCCGCTGGGCCGCGCACATGCCGCCGGTCATGATTTGCACCCCCCCCTCGTGGACACCCCCCTCTTGGCCGCTCCCGACAAAAGGTACCGCGCCGTAGCAAAATCAGGGCGGTAGGTTTTTGGGCTCTCTCGGCCTCTGGAAGCCTTCACCGGGCCCTCGGGCTCTTGAGAGTTAAGTCGGGCCTGTCCCTCTACAGTGGGACGATTTTCTGGCCATTTTTGGGCATGTTTGGGGGATTTTATTTTTCTTCCAAAATCCGCTTGTAAGGGGTCATTGAACAGTGGGAAACCGACCCCAGCCCCCACAATTATGGATTTTACATGTCAACGCTTTGCATTAATGGCGAATGTGCGTGAAAATGCGCGGCGTTGTCGTTGGCTGACCGTCGAGTAGTATCCGCCTGCAGTACACGCGTCGTTGGACGGTCGAATTGGTCTGAAGTTCCTCATGTGGGGGGCGGGGGTGATTTTCATGCGTTCAGACATTCAGGCGATCGCAAACATGGATCAAGGGGTCGTGGATTAGCGACGGGTCCCGCTTCCGTGGGAAATCGCGGATTTCCGCCGCCGAGCGAGGCGGCACCGGCCGCATTTTGGGGAGGGGACCTCCCCCGATCCATGGATTTGGCGACCGCGCGCCAAACCCATGGATCGCTGAATCTTAAGTCGGGCTTGGCCCTCTGCAGGAGGAATGTTGAAAAATATTCAAAAATATTCAGGGGACGATTTGTTGACTAGTTTTCAATATTGCTTGAATAATGTTTTGAGTGTCGAAATTTGTTCGTCCAATATTCCCCTGCGGGGGGACAGGCCCGAACATGGATCGCGAATCCATGTTTGCGCGCCCCCGAGACATGCGCGACCTATTCTTTGAGCCTGCACCAGGACCCCGGGCCGCCGGCTGCTCCTCGCTGCCCCGCTGCTGCGGGCAGTGCTGTGCGCCTCCGCGCCGCGGGTGCCCCTGCACAAATGCCACGACGCCTCGGCGCCCCTCCTCGGAGCCTTCGCCTCCACGCCTCGATGCCTCGATGCCTCGACGCCCCGAGGCCTCGATGCCTTGACGCCTCGGTGCCTCGATGCCTCGATGCCTCGACGCCCTCTGTCGGAGCCTCGACGCCTTCGCCTCCACGCCTCGATGCCTCGGTGCCTCGATGCCTCGGTGCCTCGGTGCCTCGAAGCCTCGGTGCCTTGACGCCTCGGTGCCCGCCCACTGGCGGCCAGCGCCGCCAGTGGGTGGGGGGGAGCAGCGCTGGGTCAGCACTTGGGGGGCGGAGACTCGCAAGAGGGCGCGGGGTGAAAGGGGGGGAGCCCGATGATTGATTGGCGGTTGTCGTCGTCGTCGTCGGCGTCGTTGTCGTCGGCGTCGGCGTCGTTGTCGTCGTCGGCGGCGTCGGCGTCGTCGTCGTCGTTGCTGGTTGGGCCCCCGGGACCCTCGACCCTTTCTCGGGGCCAGGCCTCCATCCCAGATCGTGTGCGGTCCCAGTGGCCAGACGCTGGCTCCCAGATACCCCCCATCATGCTTGTTCTGTTTGTTCACGGCCCTCCTGCGTGTTAGGTCCTCGAGTCAAATCCTCAGCGACGCGCCCCACTCCGTCGTCGTCATCGTCGTCGTCCTCCTCCTCCTCCTCCTCCTCCACCTCCTCTCTTCTTGTCCTCCTCCCCCTCTTCCCCCTCCACCTCCTCCCCCTCCTCCTCCTCCTTCTCCTCCTCCTCTTCGCCTCCTCCTCCTCCTCCTCCTCCTCCTCCTCCTCCTCCTCCTCCTCCTCCCCCTGCTCTCCCTCTTCCTCCTCATCCTTGTCATCAGCATCATCCTCATCGTCATCATTTTCGTCGGCGTCAGCATCATCGCCTTCGTACTCCTGACCGCCATCATCATTCATATCGTAGTTTCGCCACACACCTTGCACGTTTCGAAGCCCCAAAAGGAGCTCCACAGCAGGCCCGAGTGGCAGGATCCGCATGCGGACTCGGGTCCAATCTGGCACCCTCCTCACATGTTTCGTGGTACCATCGGGAGCTACACAAAACGCCCTACTGACAGCCCCAATGACGGGGCCCGAATGCGGACTCGGGTCCATCTCGACACAACCTTCACACGTGTCGCTAGAAGGAGCTCCACCGCAGGCCCCCGTGGCAGGGTCCGCGTGGTGGCTTGGATCATGTTGGTGCATTCTGCACCCCACCTGTTGGAAGCAGCGGTGTCTTCAAGCTCTGGCCCCCTTGTCTCCCCCCCCCTCTCCGCAGCCAGTTTGACTCAGGGACCAGCCAGGCGAATCCCACTATGCCGACGTATGCCAAGGAACTCAGGCTCTTCGTCCAGCGGCTCAGGAGAGCAGGGCTCGAGCCGAACGGTGCTTCGGCACTCTCGTGCGGACCGTTTTTTCGCTTGGACTTCGTGTCTTGCAGCAAGCGTGGAACGAAAACGAAACGAAAGCGGAAAGCACTGTTCAAAACTCGAGCCCTGCAGGAGAGTGGTGGAGAACAGACCTTCGGCCCACGCGGGCACGAGGTGGGCCGCAGGAGCGCACCACGAGAGGCAGCCGCCGCGGCGCCCGCCGCGGGCCGCCCGCAAGGTCCACCCGGCAGCGGCAGAGGCGCGCCCCCGGAGGAAGCGCAGCCCGCCGCCCGAGGTGTGTGAGGGCGCGGCGAATCTGGGGGAACAAAGAGTGGCATTAACACAAAAGCTCAGAGGTCCGCGCGGACTTCTCGGATCGGCGCCGGGCCCCCCCGGCGGCGCCTCCGGCGCCGCCCCTGGCGCGCTCCGCGCGCCAGGGAGGGGGGTGCAGCGCCGATCCGAGAAGTCCGCGCGGACCTCCGAGTTTTTGTGTTTACGCCACTTTTTGTTCCCCTAGTGAGAGCGCGGCGAATCACACCCTCGCAAGCCGCCGTGGTTCTCAGACCTCGGACGATACCTGGTGGGCGGTGCCGAAGCATGGCACTCCGCAGACCAGGCAGCCGGTGGCGAACAGGTGCGTCGGAGGCCTCGCGAGCCGCCGTGGCTTTCACATCTCGGTGGATACCCGGTGGACGTTTGCGGATGATGGCACCCCGCAGATCACGCAGTCGATGGCGAGCAGATGCGTCGACGGCAGCATCGCCGGCGGCGCCGGCAGCATGATCTGCTCTGGCTGCGCCGGCGGTGCCGGCCGCACCGCGGGCAGGCCCGGGAAGCCCCGCCTCCAAGCGGTGCGGTGGCCACACATCGGGGTGAGTCAGTAGAGTGGAGGCTCATGCAAAGGCAAGCCCCGCTTGCCTCCAGGGTGCCCTGGGTTTCTTCGGTTTCGACGGGCTTGCGAAGGAAGGCGTGGCGTTGCTTCACCAGAAGCAATGTGGACGTCCTGGGGTCTCAGGGTTGGGCTTTTCGTGGGAGGTTCCGCGTGGTCGAGCTCCTGCTGTAGGGATTCTCAGGAACAACGTTGGGAGGAGGAGGAGGAGGAGGAGGAGGAGGAGGAG